TGTATGTATATACACATGCATTCACCAAAGCTGTAAGTGCTCAACCCATAAACCTTTGCTGCCCGTGGGCATTTCTCGCAATCTGGGTTCCCTAAGTGCATCATACAGGATCAGCACTCAAGGGTCATGATTTGGAGCAAGACGCAGAAGAAGACTCACCCCAAACCCTAAACCCTAAACCCTGATTCGGTGGTGCTCCCAAAAGCCACTTCCCAAGTCGGCAAAACCCCTCACCCTGAAGCCCTTAGTAGTAGCAATAGTCATAAAGAGCACTTTTATAATCATACCAATTGTGTAATGTTACTATCCACTAAAACCCACAAAAACCCTAAACCCCAAACCCTAAAGCTCTAAAACCTAAAACCCTGAACCCTAAACCCTAAAACATTATACCATAAACCTTTAAACCCTAAACCCGTACACCCTAACCACAGACTTCTGCCAGGGTCAAGGCTTGCCCAAGTTCACCGTCTCACCCTGAACCTTCAGCATCTCATTCTGTGGAAAGTCCTTGCGGGCTCATGACTGCTGTCCCCTTAGACCTCGAATACAAATAGCATTTTAAATAACTCCTTGAGGGTTTACTATGAATACAAATGATAAAGTAATTCCTACGGAGACGATAGGACCAATGAGTGTGCATCAGGTGGAGCTCACAGCAGGCTCAAGAAGTAGACAGTCCTAGAATTATGAGTTTGACTGTTCGGGTTTAAGGTTTAGGTTTTGTAGGGTTTAGGGGTTAGCAGAGACTCAGGAAGAGGGCTTTTCAAAACAGACGCACGTTCGGGTCAGTGTGTGCTACAGGGCTGCCCCTGGAGGGGATCTTCTTGTAACACTCTCTAGAATTTGGTTGTCAAATGCGGGGAGGAACTGTCAAGAGGACAGACAGACAACCCTTCGGCAATGGCCTTCTTGTAAATTTGAGCCATATAGATCCCATGAATGCTCCTTTACCGCTTTAAAAGCAGACATATGGGGAACGGCCGAGGGATAAGCCTGTGATAGTAAGCTGGGCCAGGGTAAAGGTATCTCAAACTACCTTGAGGCTGCAGAAGGGCTACATACGGCACTGCTACTCAATAGATTGACCGCCGTAGGCCCGGAAATACACCCAAAGGCCCAAGGCTCTAACAAGGACTACAGTTGCCAAAGGCCCAAGGCTCTAACAAGAACTACAGTTGGAAACTCTTGAAATGCTTTGTATGGATCCATTTTGGGGACTATGGTCCCACCATAGATATACCCATCTGACACCACTGAAGACCCGCATCTTAAATATGCTTTTGCGAGGGGCGCGCGGATACACACAACAGGCGAACATTGCGCTAGTCGAACTTGGTTTGTCTGGCCCACGGCAGCCTGTCTTAAACCCGTGAGCATGAAGTACCGCAATTGTATTACATGGCCTTCTCTTAGTTCGGCTTCAAAGTTTGGCCTTGTGGTTTGTATGAAGCCTCCCTCGAAGCTACAAGTCACCCACTCTTGCCAGTGGAGCACCACAAGCAGCAATGCGTGAGGAAGGCAGTTCAGCAGCATGGGCAGGACAAAGCATCGCAACAGTCATTCTTGATATGCTCATCTCCGTCTCCTCCGTCTTCACTACCGGCCCACGTTGAAATATGAAGTGGAAACTTTCAAGCTTGGTATCTTCCACGTGTCCGTCGTAGTAACATTGGATACAAGATGAAGTATGAAAGTTCTGATAATTTGGCGGCATCTCAAATACTCAAAGCGCTTGCTTGGATACCCCTACACTGCAGCTTCCGGCTGTTCTAAGGAGGAAGAAAATTGCCTCCCGTGTCAAGGCATGGCGACCCTGAACGCTACACCCTAAGGCAATTAGCAAGGCAGGGAACACCGTGGCCACAAGCCCAAGGGACTTGCTGTGTTTTATCTCCTTAGGAGATTCTTGGATGGGAGCAGTAAGCTCTTGGGAAGAATCTCAGAACAACTCGATGATACACTTTCAAGGCCTCAGGGTTGTGCGCCTTATATAGATGTTGAAAAGGGGCATCAAAGTCCTGCCAAGTCCTGATTCTTCCCAACGCTGTGGCGGATTTTGCACAGTTCTAGGCATCACGCTTGACAGACAGAAGCTACAACGAGTTATAGGCTTACATTTCCACTTTTGATGCCATATGTACACCGCCATGTACTGCTGCAGGTGGTGATCAAACATGCTCCAGCATCATTGCGGGTGTCCATTAGACTCTGGCCTGCAGACAAACACAGCCTCCAAAAGCAAAGCGCAAATGACCTGCGACTACCATACACTTCTCTTTCCTACTGGATCTTACAGGTCCTTAGTAGGGCATGGGGGAATAGGATCCCGACAAAATCCTGTTATACTATATTCCCTTACTCCCTCCTAAAGAACAAGTAAGCTTTTCCTTGTACAAGTCCTGGAAAGACCGCAGTTTGAGCTGATGCAGAACATAGTAGAGACACTGCTGCAAGTAGCATCTCATGTGGAGAGTGCTGTATAGTATTAAGCACAAATTGGATCTTTGGTGAAGGATTTGTGGAGACAAAGTACTAAACTGTGCATGAGGCCTTCTAGGTTTGGCTGCAGGCGCACACCGAAAACCCTACATCAGGCAAGGATGTGCCTGACATTTGAGGCTGGACTCTATGAATGCAGATCTGGACCCTTCTCTACAGTCTCTACAGGCTCTTTCGATATCTTTCTCACGGATACTCTCGAAGATTTCTCAGATCGACTCTCCGATCGACCCTCCGAACGAGCCTTGGCGGCATTTTCAGTGTTGGACTCAGAGGGCTTGAGTCGTAATAACGGTAATGATAGTAATAATTACTTGTGATAACAGCAATTCATTAATAGTAGTAATAGTGATAAGAATGAGGACAATATCAAAAGTAATGTAGGCCCTACTAGGGTCAGTTGCATGGATCAAGTATCGGTTCGCGAGCTTTGCAGCGTTCGTTTCTGCACCTTCAGCCTTTTAGTGCCCTAACATGAAGTGTTGCGTATACAAACCTGCACACATCTTACGGCCACACGCCTTTGTCTGCCTACGCCAAGCTGTAAGCACCAGTGTTTGCAAGGATGTTGGCAGCCCGTGATTAGCACCGATGTTTGTACGCCATGGATGCGGATGGACGTCTGGATGAACAACATCAGGGTTTCCCAAAGGGGGGGTTTCAATTAACGATCCCTATTCTGGGATCCCAAAATTGGACCCCTGTTTCTTGGAACCCCCACACATGGACTTTCTCACAACACAAAGCTTGGTGCGGGCAAATGCAGGCGGCAGAATGGTGTAGCTAGTGCTACTTAATTTGGGTTTTTCGGAAGGGGCACGATTTTGACGTCTTACCTAGCTCTCTAGTGGTAAGTGGAGAGTGAAGGAATGTATAAGAAAATGGAAAGCGCTTGCGCAACAAAGAGGGGCTACTATAGCGATCCATTCCCATTCCCTTGAAACAACCGGTGAACGAACTCTGGGCCGCACCGGGTGCAAGAAGTCAGGAAGTCAGAAAGCTCTAGCCCTTGACACTGAGGAAGCCATTCATCTCCCTCGATTACCCTGTATGCTACATGATACAGACACCCACAGAAATCTGAAGGATGGGCTTCTCAACAAACACTTGATGTTCTGCAGGCATCAACCTTGCAATCCCAAGCCCTGAACCCTAAACATTGCCCCAGCGGCCTCTGACGTGTAGTTTCCTCAGTTGCAGGCCATAGCCACAAATTCAAACTGTAGTCTGTAGTCACTGTTCTACCCATTCTGGGGCCTTGTGCCCCCTTAGATAAGGAGATGTGAGTTTTACCCAAACAATGGAGAATCAACCAAAAACAACAACGGAAAATGACACAGAGGCTAGGGTTGAGGGGTGTTCCTGGCGGGTCTGCGGCTGAGGGGTTGCAGGAAGCCACACCCCTAAACCTTAAAGCGTGAGAGTTCACTGGATCTGAAAGCAGACAACAGGCCTTCCAAGGCTACCACTGTAAGCAGATTCAGAAGATGTTGGGTAGGAAAGTTAGGAACCACCAGTGCTACCTATAACTTATGACACTCGTTCAGGGAACTGCAGGACTTTGCCTGTTTATAAGTTGGGTGCTTCCTTGCCGACTTTAGGACTTCAGGAAGAGGAGCACGACCCAAGGATCTGAAAAGGACAGCTAGAGATTCTTGTGAAATGGTAGGTCAGTCCAAGTTGCTGTGTATCCTCTCCGGCAGCAACCCGCTACCCTGAATCAACCCCGAACCCAAACGAAGAGGGCACCCATCGCAAAAGGACGAAGCATCGCACTGTCCGAACGAGAAGAACATCTCTTGCAATGGTCGTAAGCATGCCATTGTTCCATGCTGCTACGACAAGATGGACATCCAAGCTTTAGGTTCAAGGGGCTCAAAAGCCGAAAGCCTCAACCCAATATAAGCCCTGAACCCTGCACCTTGAGGCCCTAAAGGCCAAGCATTAATCACAGTTAGCCAAGTTTCCAGGATCCAGCTTGTTCAAGCTCTCCGTGGATCCGGTAACCCGCGCTGCTGCGTTGATGTGGCGATACCTCTTAATCTGCGGCAGTCGGCTCTCAGAGCAGGCGGTCTCAGGGACTCTACAGCAAGGCCTAGGACCTGGGATTATTGGCGAAGATTGTCTTGAGAAACTCCCTCTTGACGATGCAGAATATAAGGCGCGGAACCACGCAACATCCTGGGGTCAATATTGGGGCCGGCTGATTATGGACACTGGACACCCCCACATGTCCATGCGGCTTACAAAGCAGATACATGGGTGCTGTTCAGGACTACAGAATTACAAATGATGGTTGCAGCACCCCAAGTCTTCTGAAAATGCCACGGCTAGGGTATCCAAAGTCATCACATTGCACGGCCTCTGTTCTGCTCTCACTCAATCCTCTGCTTGTCATCGTATGTCAGAATGCCAATATTCCTAAGCAACCTCTCGACATCTACGCACTCTGGCCAAAAGCATTGAAGGGTGTAGCCACAGGTAACCGAGGCCCCAGCTTAGCTTTGCTGAAAACTTCGCCCACAGTGTTGGATGTCCCATCCTGTCATCAGTCACACTGATTTTCTGACGAACGTCAAGGGTCAAGGGCCATGAAGGGCACTGCAAACTTTTCTTCTTTCACGAGTACGTGGAGAGACATGTTACATAGGAAACGGTCAAGTCATCCCAAATTGGCGGAAAATTAAACTTCCGAATGAAAGCATAGGTCAGCATCTTCGGTCTTGGATTCTTGGTTTAGGTTTGAGGTTTACACGGAAATCTTCGCAGACCAGGCGTGTAGGCTTGCCTTGAGGCCTTCTAGCTTTCCATGGTTTCTGGCAGAGACTGTTCAACATCAATATCCTCAACTCTTATGCACTGCTGTGATCCATTCCATATCCCCCCCAAGGCAAGCTTGTAGTTCATTGTAGCGTGCTTTGTTTCTCTAAGCTCCAAGACTCCTCGACCCCCTGAGCCCTATTCAGCAGCAAAACTCCAAAACTGAAACCTACAAACATAAGCCCGTTTACCTTCTGCTGAAGCCGTGGATCCAAACTCTTCACGGCCTGTAGGATATGCAGGAGCATGACTCCCCTGGCGGGCTTCACAACTTGAAGTGCGAAGCCTAACCCAAACAAAAGCTGTGCAACTCCCACCCTGCCATACTTAGACCTCTCATCAGCCACTTCCCCGAGGCTCTCACCACCCAAGCCCTATCTGGTACCTTGTCCTGGAATCCATATCACTCCTACTATCACCCTAAACCCTAAAACCCAACACTAAAACCTAAACCCCCGCAGAGCCAGAGCCCCGATGGCTCAGATCTCAGACAAGGTGGAGACCTTGACCGTCTCCATGCCTCCTCTTCAACGAATGCACCGGACTTATGGTCGAAAACGAAGAGCACAGAGTAGGTCAAGTTTTTGGAAGCTCCGAATCTATAAGCTACAAAAAACATTTGTTGGCTGCGCGCGCCCAACCCAAAGCCTTTACTACCCTACACTCAACTAAGCCCTAAACCTCCTGAACCCTAAGCCCTAAACCCTAAACTCAGCTAAGCCCTAAACCGTAAACACCTGAACCCTACGCCCTAAGTGCTACCCCACTACTTAAGCACAAGGAAGACTTCGGCTAGTCCGGGGCCTGCGAAAATTCCTGAATCGCGCTTAGGACCTCCTGGAAAAGCAGCTCTACCTCAACGGCGTTTTTGTTGGTGCTTGAACGGGTTTACGGTTATAGCCCCCCTTAAGTAGATAGAATATGGGGTATATGCGGATCTTATTATAAGATACCCAAAGCGATATGCTATCTAATTATTGAGGATTAAAAATGGGGCTTAGGGTCTGAAATGCTATACGCACAAGGAAGTTATAATCTTTCTTGCTTTTTGAGACTTGAGGGAACCCCAACTCACCTGAGCTTGCAGGAGTATGGCTTATATTAAAGGAAAAAGAAGAATGAAATGAAACAGACACTGTAGCAACTGTTGTTATATGGGGGTTGTCCAATATTC